TAAAAGTAATGAGTTGCGTATATTGCTTGTTGACTTTAAGAAGGCCTATGACTTTAATTGACCACAATATTTTTATCAAAAAGCTCCAGTCTCTTGATGTTGATCCATACATTGTTGCTTGGGTTAGAACATTTCTTAGTAATAGGCTTAACAGGGTGAAATTGGGTGATAATCTTTCTGAATGGCTTTCACCAAATGGAGGCTCAGACCAAGGTACTTGGTTAGGTGTTATTATTTTTCTTATTTTTATTAATGACCTGTATACTGACAATCTTAATGTTAAATTTATGGATGATACCACAGTAGTTAAAAGAATACCTAAAAATCAACTAAGTAATTTACAAAATGATGTCAACCTTATTGTTAATTGGTCAGAGCAACCATATGAAACTTAATGCAAAAAAAACCCAAAGAGTTTGTGATAAGCTGTAAAAAAGTTAAAACAGAATTTGAACCACTCTGTATAGAAGATAGTAACATTGATTGTGTGTCCGTAACTAAATTGCTTGGACTAACCTTGAGCAGCAATTTATCCTGGCAACCGCATATTGATAACCTCATTAAGAAGTGTAATTCTAAATTATTTTTTCTTCGACAACTGAAACGGTCAGGTGTTGATAACCAAGCATTATTACTGTTCTATAGACAGGTAATTAGACCTGTATTAGAATATGCATTAAATGAAAGAGGTTAACAGTACTGTCAAACGCTATTTACTACTACTCCGTACAATCCCAAATGTAATAGTTTAGTAGAGAGATTTAATGGCACTCTCAAAAGTATGCTTACAGGTATATTGGTGCACTCTTATTCGCCTATCGTGAAACCCCGCAAGACAGTACCGGTTTTTCACCCTTTGAATTAATGTTCGGAAGAACAGTGCGTGGTCCCATGACTATTCTCAAAGAATTGTGGACAAATGATTCGGTGAAGCTTGAAGAGAAAATGCTTATCAGTATGTTTTGGAATTACGCGAGAAACTTGAAAGTACTTGTAAATTAGCCCAAGCAGGACTCTCAAAATCTCGAGAACGGTATAAGTCTCATTACAATATAAAGACGAAACCACGTCAGTATGATGTCGGTGATAAAGTATTATTACTTTTGCCCGTCGACAATAATAAACTTCTTATGCAATGGCGAGGTCCTTTTCCTATTGTTGAAAAGAAAAACGTGATGAATTACACAGTAGATCTTGGAAACAAATACAAAACGTTTCATATCAATATGTTAAAAAATCCTTAGGCGAACTAGAGCTTGCTAGGGCAAGCGTTAAGTTCAGAAAGTGAATTGGCGTGCGTGTCCGTTATTGAGTCTGAACCACAGAGTGTCGACACCTATGAAGAAAGGAATAATTCCGATCTTATCCATCTGCCCGTCATAACGTCCAAAGAAGTCAGTATTCGACGCAGAGCCCGTGCCGGATCAAAACGAGATCTTCGCGAAAATTGCAAAAGAACGATATTTCTCTCGGTTAGATCTCACAAAAGGTTATTGGCAAGTGCGTATAAAAAATTAAGCAAAACACATGACCGCGTTTTTTACAGACCACGGCCCGTTTCAATAGAATACCATGCCATTTGGCTTGGTCAACTCAAGAGCTAGTTTTAGCCGTATTATGAGAAAACTACTTAAAGGCATAGATAATGTAAATAATTACATCGATGATGTGCTTATTCATACAGTTACATTTAGAGAGCATAAGAAACGACTGTCTGAAGTATTAAAACGCTTGCGAGAACCAAACATAACCGCCGAACTTTCAAA